CATTTATGGTCATCTTTATTGACATGGGAATCAATTACTCAATCGCAGAGCGGTGGTAAACTTCCACCAAACGAACAGCCCCTGAGGCATAGTCCACCGTTGGTTAACTGATATTCCCCCTTGCGTTTGGATAGCCGCTCATTCTTGCGTAAGGTTAAATAAATATATTTGTGGGGTTAGGCCAGGTCAATTCTATCTCTGCTCAGGCCAGTCTGCTGGTCCGCCACAAAAAGGTGTCCGTTGTCCCGTCACAATAGTAAAACCTCACACCATCCACTTCTTTCAAAAGGAAATACATGCAGGTGTCTACGAGTATGTTAAAAGAAATACACAACGTCCGAACTTACAGTCAGAATTGCCTCCGAAAGCAAGCAAAATTAGGCTCGAGCTTTTGATTTTGTTTGGAGGAAAACCGTCAAACCGCACGGTTTGAAGCAGAAGTTTAGCCAAAATACCTTTTCTTAGAAATTTTCCGAGAAGAAATTTTTTTGTACAAGAAGAAGCTTACTTTTTACCTTTCAAACAGAACTTGTTTTAGAATGTTGTATTAAAGAACAATTAAGACAGAACAGTTTGCATTTCAAGAAGTGATCTGGAACTAGAAAAACGCCTGTAATAAACCTACCGATCGTTCCACTTGTGTGTACGCAGAGCCCCCAGGTACTGCCGTCCAACGATCCTGTCACTACGCCAACTCGCAGCACAATAAACTGCGCACAGCCCTCTGCAAATGATATACGGGTCATTCCATATCAGACCAACACACCTTTTGACCTTAAGTCTTCCGATGTTAATAAAAATGCTGTGCTTGTTGGTATCGATGAGCAATAAAAACACACCGATTTTGACGCGATCTGCTCTTCCGTGTGGATACTTTAGTGCGGAGTTCGAAAAAAATGGCCAATTTTAGCTAAAAGCACCACCCTTGAAGAAATATTGCATGACAACTACGTTATCGTTCACCAAATACTTTTAAATTTGGTTTCAAAATAATTAACTTGCTCTAATCAACAGTGCTGATTAGACCTCATTTTAAAAGTAAAGTATCATTCAGAAAATTGATGAATTTAATTATTTTTATAGTGTGTTTCCTTTCCTATTGGAATCTTTTTAAATCTTTCTTGTATCTTTAAAATTAGGCAATTTGTTGCTATTTTTAGTCCACACAACAGTGAAAATTCCCGGAAACATTTGGCCCCTTTTTCAAACAATAACAAAATAATTGATGAATTTCGTATAGAATACAGGGCAACAGAAGGTATTTTTTGTATGAAGAGGCTATTTCATTAGTATTCTGTAACAGAATTGAGTTGAGCTCTGATGAAGTGTTGTGCTTTGGTACTTAATGGACAAAATGTAACACATGAGGGCGTCCAACCTCACACAAAATATATACCCCTGGCACATGGGAAGTCTACAGCTAGACCGTCAACAGCACGTAAGAATTTTGTTTTGTTTGGTCACTTGTACTTGTAAACCAGTGAAGACTAGTGAACATCCTTCCTTGCTGATTTTAGCGACCAACTCAATAGTCTTGTTTTTGGACGCGGTAAACCAATATCCCAGTGTTAAGTGGGAAAGTGCCTCAGCGAGGCTTGTTCTGATGACATTGAACACTACCTGCATCCAAGTGACGATGAATTACTGTGTCTACCTCTTAGATCAGGTTGTGAAACAGTAACCAGTATCTGCAAATTACACTATAAACGATTACAAAATATGTATTCTGTGAATCAGCAGAAATGCTGTGATCCTCTTCATCAACACAGTGGCAAGATATTGTAGTGAAACAGGGGTAGGCATGGATGCCAGTTTAAGTCATTAATTATTAATGTATGCGTTGACCAATCAGCGGTGTTGTAGAGCACTCGGTTTGGGCGCTTGTGGCGTGCTTGGGGCGTGTACTGTTGGTTCGCTGTTGGAGAACGGTCATTGCAGACGTTAGTTCACGGGAAGGTCGTGTTGTGGCAGCATTGCATAGAACGTAGTGTATGTGCTGTGACTGTGTGAGGTACTGTGGACGCTGAACCGGAGAGCGCTGCGTTGAATCGACTGGAAGGTGGAGTAGTACATGTAGTAATGAACTGTTTATTGGGTCTTGGCTAGTGTGGGAACAGTCTAGAGCGTAGGTTGTTAACCCTTGGCTAGGAGCTCGTGGTACGCTGATTCGTTGCGAATTGCTTGCCGTCTGTGAACACCATAGGTGGGGTGACGGCTGCGTTGCGATCCGGGTATCATTGAACTGGGTTGCCTAGAGTGCTTTGGTTCCTGTAAGGGTTATTATTATCCCTTGGATTAAGTGACCCTGGATAGTGAGGGTTATTATCCCTTGATTAACATTCCACGTAGATTATCACTGCTTACTAGTAGTGTGTACCGTTCGTAGTGGTCTAGCTTATGTTAGAGTTGCAAGGTGATTAGGTTTATAACGTGAGGCATGTTGAGTTGCCTTGTGAGGTGTATTATACAGATAAACCTTGTGTCTTGATATATATCTCGTTGATTTATATCTGTAATAAACCTATTGCACTAATTTGTTGTAATAAACCTATTGCACTAATTTGTTGTCCTTGAAACCCCGTATCATTGTGAAGGTTATTTAGGTTTCCCTGTATTTAATTGCTCTGTTGCCAGATAGATCCTGTCTTTCATAAGTGGTGGTAAACGTCCACCCAATAAACTGCTCCTAGGCTTTTTCCCCCGTTACTTAGCTGATATCCCCCCCGCCCCCTGTGCCTGGGCAGCCGCTCATCCTTTGCGCAAGGTTAATAGATATATTTGTGGGGTTAGTCCAGGTCAATTCCATCTCCGATTAGGCCGGTCTATGGGGTTTGCAACAAGAGGTGTCAGTTGTCCCGCCACAATGGTGTCAGAAGTTATATGCTTAGGTTTGATTTGTTGTGGTTTTAACTAGTTGTAGAGAGTAATAGTATAAGGGAAATTCTTGCCGAAAAGTCTCGCACTAAACCTCAAAGAGGATTAGGCCTAATTGTTACAAGGTCACGCTGTGTTATGCTGGACGGATGGTCAATTGTAGTCATTGTCCTTGGCCTGTTCTGCATTGCCCTGGTCCTTGTGGTTCTCTGTTGGATTTGGCTCGTGGTCCAACAACAAAAAAGGGGAATTCGTTGGCTGCTAGCTCAGAGGAGCACTAGCACAAACGAATACGAAACAGTAGTAGTAAGGGCTGTGGGGTCACCTCTAGGAAAGAGGATGACAAGGATTCTGTCCTTGATGACCTGAACCTCTCCAGAATGGAAGTTCAGTAGCTCAAGTGGGAAAAGGATCATCTCTCCGCTGAGCTAGAGGCTGTTAGAAAAAGGTCACACTCTGAGATTGTAAGTGAGGCATATACACCTAAGGGCAGGGATATACCTCGTGTGAAAGTCGAGTCGGAAGTAGGCTGGAAGTTGCCAGAGGATACCTCCCAAGTATGCCTCATTGAAGGCACGAGATCTTTCCAATATTGGTACATCACCTGAATTGGTTCCAAGGGGGAGGGGGGGCAGGGGAGCGTGGGAGTATATGTCAGATGGGGTTAACCCCAACACCAGTAGTTAGCCCTTGCACGAGTCCCTTTGCGAACAATGAAGATGATGGTTGAAGGGAACAAGGGTTACATTGTGACTTGCTTTAATAGTTTTGTCACAACTCCAAAAGTGGTGAAGACATACAGTTTTTGGTGGTGAGGTTGATTCGCCCGGAGAGGGACCTTAGTCACTCAAGAAGGAGTCACTGGTTGTCTGTGGTGAGGTTTCTGGTAAACTTCCAGGTAAGCCTGGCAGGCCTATAATTACTCCCGAGCGATACAATGGTATTAAAGTTCTGTGGAACGATTATTACCGACATTTTGAGGCACACAGGAAGGTGAATTTGTGGAGTGAGGAATAGGCAGCTGAATTCCTGGCTGCTGGTCTCCAGGGTGATGCCCTGCGAAGTCTTGGTAATGGCTCGAAACAGTTCACTTACAGTGAACTCGTCAAGGTGTTGAAGAGGAGATTCGGTCCTGGTCATAAGGCCGAGAATTATCTTGTCGAGTTGAAAAAAAGGCGACAGGGGCCTAAAGAAACTCTACAGGAGTTGAGCCAAGCAGTCCGTGATCTCACGGTGAAGGCTTATCCCTGAAGAGGCACGAGAGCGCCTTAGGAAAAACCACTTCGTTGACGCGGTTGGTAGTCAGGCCGTGACGGAAGGCATACATCACGTTCGTCCGGGAACATTGGATGAAGCAATACAGGCCGCCCCGGAGACCGAATTTTTTGTAAAGATTGAGGCGGAGAGGAAATCTGAAAAAAGCCCGCAAAGTTTGCGAGGGCAATTGATTCAGACATGGAACATCGTCTTCAGAAGCTGGAGGAAAGTTGTAGTCATCAATCAAAGAAGATAGACCAAGTGGTTGAGCTACTTACAGGACTCGCCAAATAGGTCTAAATCTAGGTGAACAGGCTAAATTCTCCTCATAGGCTGTCACCACAGCCTGGGAAAAAGAAGCCCAGTGAGTCGAAGTGTTAGAAGTGTGGTGAGATTGGTCATTTCTCTCGGAAATGCCCTAAACGTGGCAACCAAAGGAAGGAGCAGGGAAATGCCAGCCAGCCGACCGAAGGGCCCGCGGGAAGGCTGGATGTTCCACAGGGGGTCCAAACCAGAAACAACCGAAGATAGAAGAAGGCAGAAATCAGAAGGCGGAGATCGACCCAAAAGAGGAATTTCACATTAGCGCCGTCTGCGCATATCTCCATCGAAACCAAGGCTCTCTGTGTTGAACTTCATCGCGCGCGCCCGCCCGCGGAGTCAACACAGTACATACAGTAGCCCGTTCGTAAGTGTGACACCACTTCAATTTAAACCACGCCCACTGCACAAGATACACGACCATCGCACGTACGTTAGTTTGCGGTAAATTGTCGTTGTTTCTTTTGATTTTACGTGTCGAGTCATCCTGAAAGACTCTTCCATAAAAATTTGCAGCCTGAAAAGTCTGAATTTAACATACCTTTATGTATTTGTGTCTTGACTCCTTATTTTCAATAGTCTGATCGTATTAAGAATTGAAACTAACACATACAGCCTCGTTTTCAAACGCGGAAGTGCGCAGATCGACGCTAAAAGCGTCGTATTGGGATCCTTCTATAGGCACTCAACCTATTTTTGTGTTGGACCTAGATACGGGTTGTTTATTGATGGTGTTGTGCGAGGGGCAAACTGTAGGTTCTTGGTGGACTCAGGGTCTACAGACACATTGGTCAGTAGTCGAGTCTACCATGAAATGACCAAAGAACGGAGGCCTGTGTTGGACATGGAGAGCACCAACATTCGACAGGTTGATGGCAGTCAACTGGGTAAAACAATATACCCAGTGCAAGTAATATTTGCCGATGTCAAACAAATATGACGGTTTATTGGGTATGGACTTCTTGTTGCCTAGTGGTGGAAACCTAGATTTCCAGAGTCTCAAATTAAGACTGAATGGTGAGCGGCTGAAGTGTAAAGCAGTACCGGAGAGCTGTTCATTGGAAGGGTGCTAGTCGCCGAAACCATTTAAATTCCGGCAGGCCATGAGGCTGTTGTGCGTGGCGAGGCACCGACTACCTGTAAGGCAGCTGATCAGCCGGCAAGCACTGAGCCTGTGGAAAGTGGAGGTATATTGGCTGAGTGAGATCTAATGCTAGCCAGAACAATGGTCCAGTCGAAGGCGGAGGTTCTTCCTCTACGGATTTTAAATCCAAATAGAGAGAAATGGGTTCTTCGGAAGGGGACGGCTGTTGGCACAGTAGCCGCTCATCCTTGCGCAAGGTTAATAAATATATTTGTGGGGTTAGGCCAGGTCAATTCCATCTTCGATCAGGCCGGTCTACTGGGTCCGCCACAAGAGGTGTCCGTTGTCCTGCCACAGTACTTTCCAAAGGGTTGCGTGAGATAACATTACATTAATCGGAAACATATGGACACCATGGCCTTATACCTGGACAGAAACTCTGCCGGAATTGTCGTTCATCAATTCTAAGAATACAGCAGTGCATGTTGTTTCTGAACTTCAAATGTTTTCAAGTACGGTACCGATTCCTCTGCAGTTGATGAATAATCAATTAGTCAAGCTACTCATTACAAACGCCCATTCAGGATGTGGCTGCTACAGCATCACTTTCATCAGTAAATCAGGCTCTTGAGACAATCGGCGTTACTCCTACTCCTATTCAGTGTTGAAAACTTAAAAAGATTTAATCGGATTCTTCTAGAGCAGAAACCATACTTTCAAAAACAGTTGGTAAAAAATGCAAAAAGATACTTTATTTTTAAAATACGGTCAAAGGTCACAGATGCCTGCCAAAGGTCATCTTGATATTTGATTCACAAAGCTACATTTCCACAACATCAGTGAAAAGAGCATGTCCTTCTGATTATTTTGATACCAAATTTGCATATATTTGATAAACAATGAGAGGGTTGTGTTATTTTTACCAAATGGGTGGATTTTTTAAAGTGAAAACTGTCCATTTCTTGACCTGCCCTGACCACATGGAAGAGCGGATTCCACTAAAAATTGGCGTGTATTTATTAATCATTGATGTCTACAAGTACATCAATTTTTATCAAAATCTGAAGACCTAAGGTCAAAAGGTGTGTTGGGCTCGCATGGAGTGACCCACACTAAGCACGCATGCCCCACAAAGTGTGACGTGACGTGGACTGGAAGTGTGCAAATGAATGGAGTACACACGCGTGTTAGTTCACGCGCTGATTGTCGCACTAATTCTTTTTATACACATAAAGGCGCCTTTCCAAGATTATGTACATGTACGTTTTGGGGTTGCATTGCGTACACGATGCTTTCATGCGTTTCACTTTCACGGACACAAAAATCGACTCCATAAACATAACACGTGTATGCGTTGCGCTCGGCCGCCAAAATCGCCCGGGGAGCGGTGCTGACAGACAGGCAACGCTTGGCGAAATTGTTGACGTGCATATGGAAGGGTGCCTTAATTGTGCCCGTGACGTATTATCTTCAGTACCCTCATAATCCGCCCCGAGTTGAAGTGCGACCTCACCGGCAAAAGACAGAGAGACTGGTACTAAGTTTTCCAACTAAGTTCTTGCACGTATTCGGCCTGCATGCACGCCAAGTCCGTAAATTGCAGCCATAGATATCAAAAGAATAAATGTCGCCCTGTTCACATGACCTATTTAGCGCGTCCACGCACGGCGAGAACATTCTCTGCACAAGCAATGGCGTGCGGGCTTGCTTCCCATCTGTTGTTTTTAGTCTTCTGATATGTATGGCTGTCAGGGCTCTGACATTTGGCTATTCTTAATTAGGAATGGCAAGCCCGGATCCTATAGGATGCATCGACAATCAAAATAAATAACAAGATCAAACGGTCTTCTGGAATTCCAATATTCTCCATTCCAATGTTTACAACACGAGCTCGATATGGTATTAGAAAGTTTACTTCTGACAGAATTAGTTAATTACTTACAGGTCTGTGATTAAGTCATAAAATCTCAATTATACTCAATTAGTCAATCAAGTGACTCTGGGATCATCACATCAATCATAAAAAAGAAAGGTTCCATTAGATATCCATTTTAATTTATTGAAATAGCAAAATTAATCGGTCCACCATCTGTTGAAGTTTCTGTAGCCCCCTGAATCTGGCGTCTAACAAAACCGCAGTAGATCAGCCCAAAACTCGGTCAAGCATGCTCCAATTTGTTTCCTTTCCAACCTCGATCTCCACAATTCCAAATTACCTCAAATCTTATATCATTATCCTTATTTTCATAAATGTAAATTTCCGATCTTCTCGAAAATCATCAGCCTCGGTCTCCAAGATCAGCTTAATAGTCTTGCTACTACAATGACGACGAAACTTCATCATCTGCAGCCTTTTACTTCGATTACTTAAAAGCAAGAAAGTAATCAATATTACAACACTTACGGTAATTTGCTGAACAACTGTCTTGGGAGGTGAACTATTGCCATGAAGTCGTTAATGCCGACCCGGACGTCTATGTGGCTGGAATTAGGCCCTAGTTTGCCTTATTCTCACGGAAACAGATTTACCCGTCCTTTTCCAAAGTGGTCAAAACAGATCCACAACAAAGCTTAATCTGCTGGCTCAGATTTCTGATGCTAGGGAGTCAAAACCGGTCTTGCATCACAAGTCACTCTCCAAACCTCTGTCTTTCTCGAGCAAGTCAAAAATGACTCCTGACTCTCTCTCTCTGACATAAGAAAACTCCAACATGCACCCAAAGATTCTAATTGTGTCCGATTGTACAATGCGACCTATTCGTCATCGACTAGCATGATTTGATTCACAATAATACGATGGGCGTGCTGACAATTACCACGGCCTGAACAAAATACTGTTGCTTAAGACGGGAAGGCGTTTTCCCACTTCGCGAACGCCTTCTCTGAATGGCAGAGTTACGTTTACGCGGGAATGACGAACAGTTGATTGGCTAAAACTTTTGGACGATTCCATTACCTTCGGGGTAGATTAATTTATACTCAGAATAAAAACAATTAACGGAACACAGTAAAAACATAATCGGAAACACACATTCAATTCATACACTGGTTGCACAGTAACAATGGCAAAACCAGACATTACAGAGTAAATTCGTTACGCGCACTCAGCATGCGCCGCCTCAAACGCACCATTGATCTCCATCATAAACGCGCGCCCATGCGGTGAGTACCAGAAAAAAATAAGCCTTTTTTTGTTCCGCTCGAAGCGCATACGCCGTGTTGACAGGCGCTGACTAGAAAGTTTTTTACACTTAGGTCAATGGTACTGAAGGAATAACCGCGTTCGTGAGAAGCCTGCAGAACAGAGATTGCAACCCCTTTTTTCTATTTCTTGCAGAAACATAGCTCAATTCATTTCACTTATCTGTTTTCCTCCATTCTGATAGCTTTATCAAGGAGACAAGAATATAAATGTATTGGGAAGGGAAAATGAGAGAGACGAATTCATGATATGAAGTCCAAGAAGGGGTAAACGTGATAAACGAAAGAAGTTCAACCCTATAAATCCTTGAGTTTTTAATTCAAGTAAGTTGTGTACCTTTCTAACAGTTAAGTGCAAATGCAATCACCTCGTCGATGATCAGGACTGACAGGGCGATATTTAAAGAATTCTTTAAGAAAAAATGGCCGTGTTGATCTGAATCATATAGTTGGCAAGGTATCCATCAGAAACATCACACCAACTTTATTATTATTAAGGTCCTAATCGTTTCTAGTAATAACACTAAGGATTCCTCCAAAGCGCCCTGGGCACTCTCGCAAGCCTGAAGAAACCTGTAGAGAGGAGACAATGAGAAGCAGTCGCAGATTTAGAGGTGGGAGGAAAAACCCCAGAGGAATATTCTGGGCAAAACCCACGCAATCAGGTAGGGACCTGGCCGGGATTCGAACCCGGACCGCAGAGGTGGCAGGGGAGGAAGGAGCCACTACGCCAACCTGACTGATGATGAGCTCACGGACGACCTGACCAAGTTGCTGAGGGTTTGCCCCGAACTCTCAGTCTGCTTGCAAAGCTTTAGACCTATGTAGATATACAGGGACAAAGTGATTGATAAGAGTCGATGTATAAAATGTGATCACCAATACAGCAATCGATATTTTTACTGTGTCTCCGATACCAAGCAAGACCAAAAATATCACAATCAATGCCATGCCGAGTAAGAGTGTCCAAAGTCCCACTGAAATCTTTGCAGCTCCTTGCAACCCAGAGGATCCTGCGCTACAGAAAATCTTTCAAAAGCAACGGCTGCTACAAAGGAGTAGGAAGCGAACTCCATGGCATAAGCGAATCCAATATTGATGATCGTGTTGTATGGTTCGTTGGGCTGCGGCGCCCACGTGTTGACCTGGTAAAAGATCAGCATCAGTCCATCGGCGACAGCCAGGTTGGATTGGTAGACAGTTCGCATGGACTTCACCCGGACGATGACGAAGAAGAAGGCGAGGTTCAAGAGGATACCAAAAGGTGCGATTATCGTGAAGCTATAGTCTGAGACGTGTCATTATTATGTTGCAAGTGAGTGTCAGCCTCGTAGAGCTTGATCTGTTCGTCCTTCAGTCCGTAATTGATTGCGGTATAGCTCATCTCCTTGGTTCAGAGATTTTGGTCTTATGTTTGTTCTCAGAGCTCGTCACCTATGATTTGATAAATGACTGTGGAAAATGACATTTACCTGATAATTATAGACTTACACGCTGGAACTAAAACACGTTAAATGTTTTATAAGTCAGGTTTACCACTATTAAGTATGGTGTGAAAACAAGTATTCCATAGTTAAAAGGGAATGCGACGTGGAAGTACTGATCTTAATCCTATCAGTTTCTCAACTCCGAAACTGCAACAAATTGAGTTGACTTGAAGTGAAACTCTTTCATTGCCTTCACTTTGGAGGGAAATGACGTACCTCGAAACCCCGTTTGCAAACTTTTCTAACGTGCAGTACGTGTGCTTCAAATACATAGTCGAGTGAAAAGAGAAATAAACATTGCCACTTAGAAATGGGTTGACCATTCTGCCAGATTATAAGTAAAAGGTTTTTCATAGAGAGAGGAGCTTCAAATAAAACATTCTGTCCTGCTGTGAAAAGTACGGAGGGGCGATTTGAAATCTATTGAAAAATACGATTGTGTGAAATATATGTGCAGTTATATAGTTGATAAACGTGCGTCCGATTTTCACCTGTTCAAAGCAACCAGTAAAAATGCACCTTTGTTTCCGCATTAAACTTATTTTAGGTTTTTCGGAAATTTAAAGGGTGTTTGGGCATCGTTAGCGAATAAAGTTCACATCACATAAACGTCATTCCGACCAAAAAACCTCAACGTTATACATATATTTCAGCAAAACCCAACACAGTCACTTGACCAAAACAAAGTAGTCAATCCATGGTATAATTTAACCAATATTTAGTTAGTCACACGAGTTGAAAGATTAGTCATTACGTTGGTGCGATGACTGATAATAATTAGTTTTCAAAAAAGGTTTAATTTGACTAATCTTTTGGACGATTAGTCATGCCGGAAAGTTAAGTAGTAATCTCTAAAAATTAATTAGTAATTAAGTAAAATTAATTGATCTTTACATTCGTATTGCGAAACTAGTAATTAGTCTGCGCCACCAATAATTAGTCAGCTATACATTCTCAACAATTTAGTTTCATGCACAATTCACAAGTACATCATTAAAAATTACAAGTGATTGATATCACAAAGTCAGCATACACTGCCCAAAAACTGGTTGTAATTATAATTAAACACTGCATAAATAAACCTGTTACAAATACGTCAAATACGATGCTTCAATTTAACAAGGTTTAAGTTTTGAGAAACGTAAATGGTAGTATATCCATTCGTTTGAAGCATCAAGTTCTCATCCAAATACATAATGAATGTTTGCGGCTGCAAAAGTATAGTCGAACTTTGATAATGCCAATTTTTTTACAAAACTACCAATTCCAATTTTTCAATATTTTAGAGGAATTTTGTAATGGGTAGGCCAATTTTGAAATAAAAATTTCAAGCTGAATCAAGTTAACAGTCAATATTGAACTTTGTATGGGCTTAATGTTAGTTAGTAACAAGGTCTCAGCCACGGGGAAGAATTTCGTAATGGGCTAGGCCCATTTTAAATTAATATTTTAAACTAAATCATGTTAACAGCCAATATTGAACTTTGTATGGGTTAATGTTAGTTACAAGGCCTTAGCCACGGGGAGGAATTTCGTAATGGGCTAGGAACATTCTAAAATTAAAATTTTAAACTAAATCAATTTAACAGTCGATCCTGAACTTTGTACGGGCTTAATGTCAGTTAGTTACAAGGCCTCAGCCACGGGCGAGGTACGTGGGCCCCTTTCCAGTCTTTAAATCATGACAGTCAGTGGCAGTGTGCCAAGTATTGTCGTGGGTGTGTTCCACTCGATTTCTTCACATCTTAAATCATCGTTACTTCGTAACATCGATGCATTACAGTCCTGCAATGTGTTTTAACCAACTCCCCCTTTACATTTGACTGAGTCGCCACAGCACCAGTGAGGGGTCAACCCACCTCTTAGCGTACGACCAGCAAATTAATATGGGCAGACTAGAGCACCCAGCCTAGACCTGTATGCTAACTGAACGCTCACGGCACGTTAGGCTAGTCCCCTAGTTTGTGCGCATGCGTACTGAATCCCACTACAGCCAGAAACCAGTAAAATGGCTCTTGACTTGGACAGGTGGACCCCAAAAGTAATCGATCAACATCAAGGCAAGACATATTTGTTTGCTCTTCATTTCCATACTGATTAGTATTTAAACACTCAGAGTCCCTCTTGCTAACTTGCGCACGATAAAAATCCATTTTCAGCCAAATTTTTGCCCGTCTTTCTCACGTACCTCCAAAGTGAGAGAGTCAGAAGTTGGATGGGAAGTCAACATTTAAGAGGAAATTGTGTCAGTTTTGTTGGGTTTTCCCTGTAGCCTTCGTGGCTGTGTGTGTAACAGCAAAGTGACTAGTACAGGAGACCAGGCGAGTGGTGCAGCCATAAGGCCTTTTCCAACTCGATTTTGAGGTTTTTGTGGTGAATTATTCTTAAACTTCTTGTAAATAGTTGAAGCGGATGAGTCTCCGATATAAACGGCATCAACTCCAAAGCTTATACAATGTTTCCACCTGGTTTTTCATGAGGGCAATAATCGGTGAGATGACAACTGTGATGCTTGTTGTGGGCAGGGTGGGGGATACTGGTGCTGACGTTGGAGTAGCACTAGCAAACGTGTTTTGCTTTGAGCGCTCAATATTTCAAGCACTGCCGTTAAAAGGCAATGCTTGAAATATGGAGCTCTTACCATATCCCGTGGGTAAAGAGACAAAAACGTCACACCCGTGTACAGATGCTTCAATAGCACTTCCAGCAGCATATTCTAAAGAACTGCCCAAATACTGCTCAGACAACTGACCTGCACTCACGGCCACCGACACGCTTGACACGCTCGCTACCTTTCGCATACTTTCAACTTGCATAAAAGGTTAATGTATGCTGACCCCCTCGCTTATAATTGGTTGAGATTTTTGGAACGGGGAATTGAAGACAAAGAAAAAACATAAGAAATTTCTGACACGTTGGAAAAGGCTTCTTGGCTGCGCCACTCGTGAATGTGGTCTCCGGTCCAGTCGTTTTGCAGTTACACATAAACACAGCCAC